AAGTATGTTGATGTTTTTAGAGAGATCAACAGAGACTCTCATGTACTTCTCTCGGTTGAGTGGCAGTACATTGCCGGTGGTTTGTAGAGAATGTCTAGCAACCCACTTATTCCGAAGAATTTTTTGCTTTTGCACCGATGTGCCGGGGTTGCCCCCTTATAGTATGTGCGGGGGAAGGTATTTGACACGTCTCGGGCTTTGTGAGGGGGGGGGGTAGGTGCGTAATCGCTGGATAGTCGATGGACGCGTTTCCAGGGCTTTGGTGGGTGGCAGATCGGAGACAGAGGCCAGGGTTTCGACTTGGGACATTGGCATATCTCCTGCCGATATCTGGACGGTGGGTACCCATGGGGGCAGTATCCAAAAATTGAGAATCCCTCGACAAGGCGAGACGAAAAAAAAATCGCAAAAACACCGAAAAACAGCACTACAACAGTAGACAATATGATATCACGTGATTTGATTATGTTGACTCCATTCTCCGTATTTTATCACTGGAATTTCATATTTTACACAAATTCTACACATTTGATTATCATTGTTTTTGGTAGACTTCCCGCTTATTTTGTTGACCTATCACTTACACTGTAGTATGAAATGAACAAACAGGAAACGTTAATACTGGCTGAAAACCTTAATTCTAATTACCCCCAACGTTCTTAGTCATCTAAAACCCTAACTACTCCCATAAAAATTGACCACCAGTATATACGTCACCAATATACCACACATAGCTGGGGTGATGATAAATAAAAAAGTCACGTGAAAACACTTGATGAGTATCTTTCGATCACGCTGAATAAAATACACTTGGTCTCGGCGCTCTATGACGTCTCCTCGGCATTCTACACCCATTTTAAGAATTTGATGACTAATCATAATTGAGGTTTGAAAAATCGAATAATTGACAAGTCTAGAAAAAAAAATTCATGAAATTTCGAGATATGACCAAGGACGAAAATGAAAAAATCGACAGAAATCGACAGAAATCGACAGAAATCGACAGAAATCGACAGAAATCGACAGAAATCGACAGAAATCGACAGAAATCGACAAAAATCGAGAAATGACCAAGGGCTAAAATCGACAAAAATCGAGAAATAACCAAGGACGAAAATCGACAAAAATCGAGAAATGACCAAGGGCTAAAATCGACAAAAATCGAGAAATAACCAAGGACGAAAATCGACAAAATTCGAGAAATGACCAAGGGCTAATATCGACAAAAATCGAGAAATAACCAAGGGTTAAAATCGACAAAAATCGAGAAATAACCAAGGACGAAAATCGACAAAATTCGAGAATTATCCGCGGAGAAAAATGAATCCCATAGCTGAGCTTTTACACAAAAAGGGATATCACTTTGCAACATCCGCGGCGAGCTTGCTACCCAGTCACCTGACCGGCACATGACCAAGTCTCAGTGAAAATGCATCCAAGATCACCAAGTTGAGCCCAACGTCTCACCATGTCTTGCACCCAGAAGTGAAGTATGCCTCAACGTAAAGTCTCACCATGTCTTGCACCCAGAAGTGAAGTATGCCTCAACGTAAAGTCTCAACCAACCCTTAGCACACACCAAAGTAAAGTCAACCACGTCAACTAACACTTAGCACACACCAAAGTAAAGTCAACCACGTCAACTAACACTTAGCACACCAAAGTAAAGTATGCCTCAACGTAGTCTCAACACTTAGCACAAAGCCAACCACGTCAACTACCCCCACATCCTCCCACAAATCTAAACAACAAAGGCTTAATCTCAATAGATCGTAACAACAAGGCTACTCTACTACTTACAATACCTCGTCGCATAATAAAGTCGTCTACAATGGATTTCACAAGGGTAAATCTTTACAATCAGGGAAGAACAGCTAATTTCCTCAACCATCCATAACCCCCTCCGGTACTGCGATACTTATTCATATCCAAAAAACCCCAACTTCATCTCTTCTAGCATGGGTTCTGACTTAGAGGCGTTCAGCCATAATCCAGCGGATGGTAGCTTCGCTGCATTGCCTGATCAGACAGCAGCAAACACCAATTATCCGAATGAACTGTTCCTCTCGTACTAAGTTCAATTACTATTAAGATGCTGAAGTGGGGGGTCGAATGTTGAGCAGGGCTGAATGACTGTTTGCAGTAAAGATCCAGGTAGACGATGTGGGCAGAGTGATGTGTAAGAAGTTAAGTTTCAATGTTTGGAAAATCTCTCCCAATGGGGAATTGCCATTTTGGGACAGTGTATATCAGAGACGCTGTTATATCTGAGTCAGGTTGATAGCGCGTATAGGGAAGGAGAAATATAGAGTTGGTCGTGAACAAAGAAAACTCAATCTACATTCCTTCTAATGAATATGCCAAATCTTGACAACTGCCACTTGGCTATGGCGATGAACCGATTATACTGCTCTCGTCGGTGATCTTTCAAAGTCACAATACAAGTTACTGAGGCTTGTAGCCTAATCCCCCTTGTTATGGCAAAGGACTTAGATTATCCCCAATATTTCATGGCAGATATCCCTTCATGACGTAGAGTTAGAGTTCCATGTTCATTTTTTACCCCTTACATCATGCGCTTTCTGGTCCGGTTGAACAAGGCAGTGTATGCTATTAATAGGTATGGGTTAGGGTATCTCGCGAACCAGGCTGAGTCCACGTGAGCTCTAGAGTATCCTAATGTAATTTACCTGCTGTATTGGAACTGCTGAGCCGTTGTATGAGCTCTTGATTGAGTTTCAGTAACGTTAGATACGCTCGTATAGGCACTGATATGCCAAGATAGGAAAGGTCAAAGTACTTACGCGGTTAAAACCAGTTTAGGCGGGTAAATCTGTCAATTAGTAAGAAGTACGTGATTTTCAGTCTATGACTCGGCTCTTACTCGGAACTAGTTGCTCATTTGGTTCTACTCGGGGTTCTCTTAATGGAAGTCAGTGCCGAAGTCACCATCTAGGAATGGCGTCGGAAGCCAGGGGTAAAAGTCAAAAACATGTGATACAAAAGGAAAAGTTCCGGGCTGCATGGTGTGTGAAAGTTTTTCACAACTTACCCGGTTGGGTTGGGGCTGTGTATGGGTCTGTCAAGTCTTGTGCCAGTTGACAGTAAAGTGCCGTCCCAATGACATGTTTAAAATTTTACATCCTCTCATGAAAGGCCCATTGAATAAGCAGTAGTTCACAAAGGCCCCTCATCTTCCCAATACCTCATTACTTGATAGGAGGCTTTACTATGACATCTAATATTTCAGTGTCTGAGCACACGGAGTAAGACATGGAGAGAGACAGCTGTCAAATTATAACACACTCTAACAAAGGGCAAGCCCAGACAGGCGGATTCTTCTATAACAAAAAATCGCAAACAATTAATCTTCGCACACTCTAGAATTTGGATCATCTCGAATGAAAGGGGAGGTTACTCATAAAAAAGGCTCCAAGAAATGACTCCACTGATAGGCTTAGCCGATAACACCAGCTCATTTGAACACCAAATAAAATAGATACGGGCAATCAACGTACCCCTGCCAAGTGACTGTATCTGACAGAAGCTTAACCATGAATGGAATCTCCAACAGTAAGCTTACAACAAATAAGGCAATGACAACGAAAACAATTAAATTAACACAAGACAGCTGTCACGTCACTATGCCTCCAAGTATATAGCCAAAACGGCCCCCAAAAATCCGCCCTTAAACGAAATGCTGACTAAACACACCACTCCGACATTTTAAATCCCACTCGACGAAAGGCAACACTGTTAAGCCACCCGGACAGTATCCAGGCGGTGGAATCTGAGTATACGACGAATTTGTTGACAATTACTCAGGACACTTGCTAACAAAGAATATTCCTGGAATTTGATCCTAAACAATTCCCAACTATCGCTTGTCTAACATTTACTTGACCAAGGCTCCGTCGACATGTCCATCTAATCTCATCAACATCAGTCGATATTATTTTTGAGCAGGCTTATCTCGACACAAAACTCCGCCCTTATCGCAAACTCTATAGCGCGTCTCTCATGCACTACACCCCTCGTGACCCGACCATATTCCCCGAAAACCCCATTTTCATTCACTTTTTTCTCCCTCCCTCTTCTCCCACAAACACCACCAGCCCACCACACTCAGAGGGGGAAAAACTTGGAAAAAAAATCAAAACCTCAATTACTAAGCTCTCCTCTTCACGGGCCACCCTTACATGGGTGGTAATGGCCAACTCCCCAGCTCTGGGCAGGTCTTATCCCGCCCAAGCTGGGTCCTTGACCCTCCCCATGGACTCCCTACCCACTTGTGTCGTCAATACAAGAGGGTCTAGTCTGGGACTAGAGCTACCCGCACTTGGACTAATCAAAACCAGCTCGGAGTATCCACACATCAAAGTGTGTAGCCACTCCTAGTCTAACTGAAATTAGTCGGCCCGCGGTCGTGGTCCTGGGAAGAGCTGGCCGTCCGAGTGGGATCGCGCGAGACGTGGCCTGGTTCAGACCTGTGCCGGGGCAAGGTTCTCCCCATTCCAAGTCGTTCCAGGCTTGTGGGCGGGACACTTCAGAGGCTGTTCAGGGCAAGGTTCTCCCCATTCTACGCCGTGCCAGGCTTGGTGCGAGGCATTTCACAGGTCAGAGGCTGGTTGGAGAAAGGATCCCCGGTTGTCAGAGGCTGGTTGGAAAAAGGCTCCCCCGAGGTAGTGACTAGGTGATTCATGGTTGGCCCCCTCCAGAGACTGCTCACGACACGGCTTGAGATTCAGCTAATGAAGGAACTTCAGCCTGCTGTGTGTTCCTGTCGTGGCGAGAGACACACTCAGTTGAAGTTGACCCACAAAAAACCGGATCGCCAAGCTGATATCAAGAGTCAGATCACTGACGATTCATAAGGGCCTTGCCAAAACTTCATCCCCATGGCCGTCAGCGAACTGAAGCCGAGGTTGTCAGTCTGGGGCTACTGTGATCACCCACGCCTAGTTACTCGACTACTTGGCTGGTTGACGAGAACGCCGCTA